TTTTTTGCATATAAGTCCTCAAAATATTGATGAAAAATTACATTTTAGTACCTAAAATTTTTTGGTCTCACATTTTGGTGCCTAAACTTTTCAAGTTTTACAAATAGGTCCAATTTTTGCATATGTAGTTAAAACACCCTCAAGTAAATGGATATCCATATCCAACCCAGACACATTTAGATAATATCCATATCTAACCCAAACCCATATACAAACCCCAAACCCATACACAAATCACCCAAACCCTACCCATAATAAATGGGTCTACTCACGACGAACAGATTAATATCTGACCGTCGCAAACTGATACCCACCACACAGATTAATATATGTCCATCGCAGACTAAATGACTAATACCAACTACACATATCCGAACCACCTAAACTAATATCCATTCATTGCAAACAAATATTGTTGTTTCATGGCCCGAAGGCCCATGGGCCCTCGGCGGGCAACCCTAACTAAGGTTGCAAACCTTATGTGTTAGGATTTGATAGTGTGTTTAGTTTTGATGGAAGACACAATATCCATTACTTCACAAACTAATATCCATCGCATGAACATCATTATATCCTATCATCACATACTAATATCAGTACATAAAAAGACAATCTATCACTGACCAATATCCATTACAGGCGGAAAAACAAAGAAAGAAACGAGAGAGAGAAAGAGGGTTAGAGAGTTAAAGATGGTTGGGAATTTAACGGGCCATCACTTCTCCTTTTTTTTACCCATTTGAGCATTGTGAGTAGTTTAACTTTTTCGCACCCAATGGCATCGACATCGTCAAGTACTCTTCCCCTATATAATGCCAAAAAAGGATTTGATTAATACATGAAAGGAAATGAAAATGCCGCGATTCTCTAAATTTAAATCTGAAGTTTAATTTAATAGTAAATATTAATTGACCGTTGAGATTGATCGGAGCTATAAAAAGATCTAATGACCATATTACATGGAGTATAGTATGCTCCTGTGGTATACCAGTTATTATCATATAAACCATATATATGCAGTGGCGGAGGCAGGATTTCAAACTACCCCTGTCATGTGTCCTCTATTCAGAATATATATATATTATTTAATAAATATAATTAAAACTAATAATACCTAAATAATTCATTCATAAAGAAACAAAAAACTGACTAATACAATTATTGTTTGCATAAATAACCAGAACGAGTTTTCATATTATGACAGAAATGTAAAATACATTCATTGTTTACACTCTTAAGTGAGTCGCTTACAATGTATCCCATTAAACAATTATTAACAAACCCATTGCCAATTCGACTTCGAAGCTTATTCTTAATATAGTTCCATCTAATATATGCACTTTTGTCTCCACCATTACTCGAGAGAATTTATCAATTCTTTTCCACCCAACAAATTTCTCATCAGCCATAATATCGTGATAATACCTAACGAGCTATTGTCGAATAATAGTGTCATGATTCATGAATGAAACCAATCATTTAATTATTTTTTGTGAATTAATGAACAAATAATGAGTTATGGTGTAATGTTAAAACATCCTTACGTTACTTGTAAGTGTTTAATTCGATCCGTGCAAATATATATGAGGTTATTTTTTTCCCTCCCCAAAAGTTACCCCTGTCCCTGGACAGGGGCAAACACCCCTAGCTCCGCCTATGTATATATGGCAAAGGCTAGCGTACCCCCGGACGTACCCCAGCCTACAGTACGCCCGTTGATTTTTGCTATTTAGACAATGAATTAACCGGAGTTTGGGGCATGATACTATATACCCTAACCCCTAATGGTGAACCCCAGTCCGCAAATCAAAGTTATATCATACCTTGAGTAAGAAACCGCTTTCTAGACCTCGAATTAACCGGAGTTTGCGATGTGGTAGTATACCCTAATCCTTATAAGTCCAGTCGTGCAAAAGTTTTTTTTGGTTCACAGGTCGTACAGGCTTTCTTTATTAATTTCCCCTCACGAGCAAGATCACGTCCCTCATTACGAGCTTGTACACATGGCCCTTTCCAACCACTAAAGGTACGTGCTTATCATGTGTGGCTACTCGTTCTTTCTTGCCTTTCCTTGTCCAACTGCGCCCTTTTTTGGTTGAAGCAGCCACGACTTTGGTCGTAGTCAGTTCAAACTATCGAAGAGGCATAGAGCTTGAGAATCTCAGCTCTTTGACACAGATATGAGATAGCTGCTTGAAGGGCTAATGAAGCTAAGGAAGTGGAAGTTCTGTGCATTTACTTTTGAAAGCAAGAAGAAAGGTTGGCCTTCCCGCGACAAGTGGCAGTCCACAGAAAACATCGTATCTTCTACGAACTTAAACCCTGCTACACACTCAAGTAAGCTTCTAAGCAAGGATGGAAAAATCTATGCCGTAATTCTAAAAAAACCATACACTAAGATGAATTTAATTAGAAACAAAAACCGACGGTCATGATTCGTCAAGATATATGCAACAAATTACATGCGCAATTTTAGGGTTTAGGGTCTACGATTTAGATAACTAAGACCTAGTGTTAACTCATCAAGGGTTATGGTGTAGTATCATGTCCCAAAATCCGGTTACTTCAATGTCTGGATAGCATTTTCTTACTCAAGGTATATCATACCCTAGATTTTACCCAAGTTACGATTAGTATGTGTGATTGTAGTGGCGGAGTAGTAGGGCTGGGAAACGATGAGGTCTTGATCCCGATCAGATTATACATACGTTCTATAATTTAGATTGAGAGACTATAATATAGACCATAAATCAGATCATAAACTAGACGGTCTAGACCAGACTACGCTTATACTATCTGATTTGGTACGATCTATTCCAGATAGACCACACTAAACCAAAAATGAACAATTTGCACAGCGACCAAACAGAGTGTATAACAACAACAAAGAGGGCAAAGTGAGCAATCAGACAGCAGACAAGGTACATGTGGGCTGTGAATACAAAACAGGTAGGCAGCTTTTAATTTATGAACCCAATCTGCTCGCCGGTCAGGCTATAGCGAGGGGACCGCCGCCGGCCCCATTTCTCCCAGAGAACAATAAAAATATGGACCCGTTGCAGTAAACGCCGCGTTTGGCAGCAGCCATTTGTTGGGCCGCCAAGTGTGTCCCCACTCGAACCCCTACCTGTTTCGAGAGTCGGTTTTCGGTGGCGCAAAACGCCGCGAATTACCATTCATCATTCGACGACTTGTCGTCCACCCTTGATTCCCACCGTTTTTCCAATCTAGAGAACACTACGTACAACGTACTGTCACCAGCTGGTTGCAGATACCGCCGGACAACGTAACACCGAAGTCGTAGCTAAGCATGCAAGCTAGCTAGCTCACATCATCGTTCTGAATTTCTTATCAATTCCTCACCGGCACCGCTTCAGTCAATCTAGCTAGAACTGGGGGTGAGAAATGGTTTGGTTTGGATCAAACCAGACCATATATACGATCTATGGTCCAGAGATGTTAGAATATAGATTATGGATCAGATTATATACTATACGATTCCTATCAGACTACGAGAAAATTATGATCCCGTATCTTAGTCCGATGATTTTTTTCCTAAGAATTTATTGTGATCCAAAATTTGTAGAATTTTATGGTATGTTTGACTTAATAGCATATTGTATCTCATCATTATGGGAAACAGTACTAATTAATGCTCATTATCGCAGTGTAAACAAGAGGTTTAAACTTTAAAGCGCGTAAAGATTGAGATTGACCACAAATAAGTTCTGCAATCAAACCAAAATATAATTGTATATAATACCTATATACTTTATTTACGGGAGGAAAGGCATAGAAATATAGCATATTAATAAAATTAGATAAATATATATGGATTCTTAACCCGGATAGACAATCTTGGTTATCAGTATTTGGAAGTTGTAATCCTTGCCAATCTTAATTTGTTCACATAAATAGTCATGACTAAAAACAGTAGTCACCCTCCAACACGATTACCAATACATGTGCGTCAATTTTTCGAGCGCCAATGAACAATACTTGAACATAGTGATTTGAAATGACGACATCAAGCAATATTGTGTCTATTTTGTGACGATCTGAAGTAAAACAAAAGGAGGCGGTGGCTCATTTGACATACATGAAATTAAAACTTACAGTTACAGGGCAATATGATAACCTAGTAACATGAACAATTATTCTCACGCTATTTACCATTGAGATAAATACAAAATCTCTATGAATAGATCACACTTTTTTTCTGGTACCACTGCAACTGTTGCAAAATCATGGTACTTCTGTACTTCACCGGCGGTCATGTAATAAGAGTTATGTGAATTTTTCATAGAGATAAAACGTGATTACCAACACAGATTTTAGTACTAGACTCGGAAATTTCCACGACAGTGCAATTCAATCCGATCAATCTCCACACCATTTCCTACTCGCTAACATTATGTAATATAGGAAAAAAGAAAATTAATATATTACACACTGTAAGAACACACTGGTGTTACTTTAATTTGTACACGTCTCCGAAGTCCGAACGGCGACAGAATTGAAAGGTGTTCAGCTCCGTTTAAACTCAACTCTCAACGGGAATCATTTGAGCTGTGCGTTATTTTCCAGTTCAAAATTTTCAATTAATCCTTTATTAATCTTATTTAACTATCATTCACCTGCATCAATAAAGCCACGTGTCGGTATCCCGAATTCCCAAACCATATAAGCCAGTGTCGGTTGCCCACGCATCCCGGTATCTCGCCCATACACGTGCTCTCCCTAGTCCCTTCCCCTTCCCATTCCCAATTTCCTCCCAATCCTCTCCTTTCTCCTTTCTCATTCCTTTCTCTACTCGCAAAATCCATTTCCCCCGAAACTGGTGCAATTTCTCCCCGCTTTAATCGCTTTCCGCCCATATATCCTCTTCCTTCCTTTTTCCTCCACTTTCCCAAATCCCACCGAAAAGCAGTCCAGCCGGCCAAATTCGCCGCCGGGGAAACAGAGCCGAAACTCGAATTCACTAATCACACTCTGCTCCGATGCTTCCACTAACCAATTCTCCGCCGCCTGAGTCCACCGCCAAGATTAAAAAGCCGAAAATCGCCCCCGGCGATTTCATCCGGAGGAAGAATTCCTTCAGCTCTCTCACCTCGCTCCTCTCCCATGCCTACTTATCCCAGCCCCGTTCCTGGATTCTCCTCTTGCTCTTATTCATCCAGATTCTCCTCCTCCTCACTCTCCGATCCGTCCCCTTCCATTTCCACGGCTTCCACCGCCGCCTCCCTGCTTCTCCCAATCCCGCAGCCGCCGTCTCCGAGCCAGTCGTCATTACAACATCAAGGTCCGACTCTGCCGCCGCCGCCGTGGTGGCGGTCGACGAGAACCGCTGCGGGAACGGGTACGTCTACGTTTACGATCTCCCGAGCAGCTTGAACACCGAATTGATCGAGAATTGCGAGAAATTGAACCCGTGGAGCTCGAGGTGCGACGCGCTGGCGAACGACGGGTTCGGGCAGCAGGCGGCGGGAGTGTCTGGAGTTGTACCGGAGGATTTGGTCCCGGCGTGGTTCTGGACCGATCAATTCGTGTCGGAGATTGTTTTTCACAACAGGATGATGAAGCACAAGTGCCGGACCACCGAGCCGAGCAATGCGACGGCGTTTTACATCCCGTTCTATGCCGGACTTGCAGTGGGGAGGTTCCTGTGGCAGAATTTCAGCGCCAAGGACAGGGATCGGCACTGCGAGGCGATGCTGAGCTGGGTACAATCCCAGCCGCAGTTTCAGAGATCCAACGGCTGGGATCACTTCATCACAATGGGGCGGATCACGTGGGACTTCCGCCGCTCCAGCGACCAAGACTGGGGGTCGAGCTGCATCTACCTGCCGGGGATGAGGAACATCACGCGCCTCCTCATCGAGCGGAACCCCTGGGACTACTTCGACGTCGGCGTCCCGTACCCGACGGGATTCCACCCGAGGTCCGACGCCGACGTCATCCGGTGGCAGCAGTTCGTCCGGGAGCGGAACCGCCCCACGCGCTTCTCCTTCGCCGGCGCCACGCGCCGCTCGTTCAAGAACGACTTCCGCGGCATCCTCCTCCGCCACTGCCGCGACGAGCCGGACGCGTGCCGGGTCGTGGACTGCGCGGGCTCCCGCTGCGGCAACGGGACCTCGGCGATCCTCGAAACGTTTCTGGACTCTGAATTCTGCCTCCAGCCGCGCGGGGACAGCTTCACGCGCCGGTCCATCTTCGACTGCATGATCGCCGGCGCAATCCCGGTCGTGTTCTGGCGGCGGACGGCGTACTACCAGTACGAGTGGTTCCTCCCCGGCGACCCGAAGAGCTACTCTGTTTTCATCCACCGCGACGACGTCAAGAACGGGACCTCGATCAGGAAGGTTCTCGACGGTTACAGCAGGGAGGAGGTGAGGAAGATGCGAGAGAAGGTGATCGAGTACATCCCGAAGCTCGTGTACGCGAGGAACAGCGATGGGTTGGAGACGATTAAGGACGCCTTCGACGTCGCCATTGATGGGGTGTTGAGGAGGTTTGAGGAGCAGAGGGAGTGGGGGTACAAGTGGTAAATTGTAGGAGGAAGGTGAGGTTAGTTTTGTCAATTCATGGGACTAGTGGGTCGGGTTGGGTAAAATTCATTTATGGGGTGGGTCCGTGAATTTTTGGCCGGAAACTGAAGTGATAAGGCCATGGCTTTGCCGTCTGATCGGAGCCGGTACAGGAGGGTTGAGTGGGAGGGAGAGGTGAATCGGAAGTTATTACAGTTGTGTGTACAAAAATAATTTTGACGTGTTGAGCAGAAGATTAAACTATGGAGTTTTTGTTACTTTAATATATAGAAAAGTGGTGGCCGATTATTTGATTTATATATTTATTTTGTGGGTTTTTGTTCTGTTTGTTGTTACGAGGATTGGATGGTTCTGAATTCCTGATGAGGTTTTTGTGATGGGGACTACGAGTTGGTAGGGTTCTTTTCTTTCTTGAGCTTACACTTTTTTATGGTTTACTCTTCTTCAATATCAATGGCGTCGGCGAGGTGTGGGTAGGGCTGTCACTCGGTCGGTTTCGGTTTAACCGAAAACCGAATTGTCGGTTATCGGTCAAACCGAGACCTCGACAGAGCTACCGCCAACCGACCGTCCGTGAGCCTCGGTTAGCCGCAAACCGACCGACCGGTTTCCGGTTTCGGCTCGGTTAGGCGGCCAACCGGATACAACCTTTAAAAAAAAAAAATTTAAGAAATTAACAATAAATCTGCACCACACACTCCTAACCTAACCCCTCACCTAACCCCTCAGTTTCTCGATTCTTCTTTCCCCTCCGTTTTCTCGATTCTCTTCCCAGACCATCTCTCTCCCTACTCTCTCTCTATTCTCTTCTTCCTCTAGAATGAAAATCGAACAACCAACTCCCACCATTCTTCTTCCCAGACTCTCTCTCTCTCCCTATTCTCGCCTCCTCCCTCGATTCTCTCCCTGGATTTTGCTGGTGTTGGCGACGGGGGCGGGGCGCGGCGACGGGGGCAGGGCGCGGCGACGGGCGCGGGGCGCGGCGACGGGAGCGAGGCGCGGCGACGGGCGCGGCGACGCGGAGCGAGGTGCGGCGACTGGCGCGGCGCGAGGATCTGGCCTCCATGCAGAGGAAGAAGAGTCGAAGGAGTTAACTGAGGAGGAGAGGTGAGGAGGAGGAGGAGAGGTGAGGGTCGGATCTGCTGTGGAGTGGAAGGATTTGTAGGAAGAAAGAGAGAAGAAGAGTCGAAGGAGTTAGGGAAGAAAGAGAGAAGAAGAGTCGAAGAAAGAGAGAAGCTGGAGTGGAGGGTTAAACTTCTCTTTTTTATATTTTCGGTTGTGGGTCGGTCGGCCGGTTAGTCGCGGTTAACCGGCTTCGGTTACTCGGCTAACCGGACCCCTGCTTTCCTCTACCGTCAACCGACCGACCTATTCAAAATCGGTTTTTCGGCTAGCCGAAAACCGGTCGGTTCGGTTGAAACCGACCGGTTAGCCGCTAACCGGAAAACCGAGTGACAGCCCTAGGTGTGGGAGTGGACTAATCGTACTTTGAGAAATTCTGTCTCTAGGCCCTAGATTTGACTGGTGTGGATTAAAAAATAGAGGGTTGCATTGGCATCGAGGGGATTGATTTGATATTGGAGGCCACAATTTTCGGGTAGTTTTGGGTTAAGCGAAGTCTTGTGACCTCTTTGTCACATAGTAAAAGACGATTAGTTTTTAACGATGATTAATTAGTTGTGATGGAGTCTTTCTCTTAAATTTGACTTCTGATTTTGTTATGTAGAGTTATCAAAGCCATAATTTACTGTCTTCTCACAATCCATCGAGGAGGCTCATTACAGTATAATTCTGCTAATAATTAGCAGATTCGTTCATTACAGTATAATTCTGCTAATAATTAGCAGATTCGTTAATATATGCTAACTAATATCCAAAATATATGAATTAATATCCAAGTCTGTTGAGTATCTAGATAGCACAGACTAGTATTCAAAATACTACAAACTAGTATCCAGATAGCAGACACTAACTAATATCCACAATCAACCAACTAGTATTCAATATGGATACTCTTATGTGTTATCTGGATACTCATATGTCTTATATGAATACTAATTATCTGCTGTTTGGATACTATTCTGTGTTGTCTAGATATTAGTTTATGAATTTGGGATAATAGTTGATTCATGGTGGATATTAGTTAGCAAATTTTGAATACTAGTCTGTACTCTCTAGATACTTTAGTATTTGGATATTAGTTCATATATTTTAGATATCAGTTAGTATCTGCTAACGAATCTTCAAATTAGCATATTAACTTTCCATGCACCTTACTGTAAATTTTTGTATGCTCTGCAACTCCTGGTAGAGATCCGAACTCTCATTACGCTAATCATTTAGATAAAAATGGTTTGTTTTTCTTTTAACAAACCAGGAAGGAATTCCTTATTTATGTTTTGGCAACAAAAAACAAGAAACAAAATGGCAAGTAAAGGGGCATTAGGTTGTCAGACTACTTTTTGGGTGCATGATTAGAAAGCCAACCCAAAGGTAAGGGGATAGATATATCGTACTTTATTCTGCTGCATATGAATCCCATGATGAACAACCACCAACCAATTAGTGAGGCATTGTGTGGATGACATCGGTGTCTCAATATTCATTTCCGTTCTGTAACAAATGCGGATTAGATTGTGTTATATTCATGTAAGTATGTAGGATGGGAAAATAGATTAGATTGTTAGAAAAATCGTGTTCCAAACCGTACCGTACATTTTGGTCCGGACCGTAGATCGTTAAGTATGGTCTGGTACATGATCTGTATTATTTTATGTTTTGATTTCTTGGTCTGGTCTAGACCGCGGTTTACCGGACCAAATCGTGGACTCAACTGACTTGTCAATACGTGTTAACAGCCCATTCGACCACTCTCCCAACTCCCACAACGACACCCAAGTCTCAACCTTAGTTTTGTGAATCGTGTCTCTCCTTCATTCACAACCACATTTAACCAGAGAGTAGAGATAATCGTGTCTCCATATGACATTATGTTAATGTTTATGACATTATGGTGCAAGTTGAGATGCTTTTACTTTGTATCTTTGTTATGTACTAAGATTTAGAGTATCAAAATTATTCATGCATGTTAGGATTAATGTTTTAATGCAAATAACAATTATTTTTCTTTGTTATTGGTTCAATTTGTTGTGTGGTTGACTAAACAAATTATTCATTTTTCGTTCAGTGTGGTCTATCTGGACCAGATCAGACCGAACCAGACTGCACAGGCGTGGTCTGGATCGGACCGTATAGTATGTGGTCTGGTCTGTGGTCTATACTTTAGCCTCTCGACCTGGACCATAGACCGTATATATCGTCTGGTCTAGACCAGACCGCACCATTTCCCAGCCCTACGAAGTATGAGCTAGTACAAATCGATTCATTCACATATATATAATACTAGTTTTACCCGACCGTTGGTCGTTTGAGGTTTTCTAAAATAGTTAATTCTTTATTTCAAAGTAATTTTTATGTTATTTGTTGATTATGACATTAGCGATAAATGTGCAGTCAAAATCGTGCATTAAAACGTAAAAACTTACGTTTTTATGTATCCGGGCCACCAAAACGTTTTAGTTTCTACCTAAGGTCGCTTAGTCACAAAAGCTGGTAAAAACATGGGTAAAATCAGTAAAATCGCGATTCTGAAGCGTTTTTATACGATTTTGATCATCTCATAAAAGTGTGCTAATTGGCCCAAAATTATGTAATTTTGGAGACATATCAGCAAAAAATACAAAAAAGGAAAACATGATTCAGCACTCGTTCTACAACTAGTGTCGAGATAGGGGCTTCACATTAGGTTGAAAAGACACCTAATGGTATTCTCAACAGTCGCTGACCTTCTATCAGTCTTCTCCCTTGATCTTCATCTATGGCTCTTACCTGGGTTACGATAAAAGTTTGTGGGTAATTGATCGTATGTAATTATGTAAACTCAAACCAGCTTATGAGAATTTGGATTCTCAAGCTCGTTTACAAGTTACGATCTACGTTTATGAGCTTATTATTAAGATGTTATGAGTTTTCTCTACTTTTGAGTCAACACAAATTAGTTTATGTGTTAGAAATTACATTTTAATTATGAATTTCATGTAGCTATTCACTTATCTAAAATCTACACACTCACATTTTACATACTATATGTTGTACTTAACATATTTTAGCTATTTTAGAGGGTGCGTAAAAAAACTTACGCTTTTACGCTTTGATTCTACGTTTTACGATTTTACCCATTTCCCGCTTCTAGGTAGAATCGCGCTTTTAACTGCATCGATAATTAGTTAATATATATTTTTATCAAGTCGTCATAGTTTACTGTTGTGTAATTTTTTTCATATCTTACAAGGAATTTATGGACTTTTTATTGTCTGATATGAATTTGGAGTTGGTAGGAAATATATGTCATCTAGAATTGGGTAGAAATCGAAGGTATATAAACAAACCAAGAGAATAACGAAAAGATTATGCCTAAAAATCTCAAATATGGAAGAACACGAAGAAATAATGCTAATTGTATAAATTATTATAATTTAGTGTATAGGCTTGTTTGAATAATGAGTGGGGTCGTTAATGTTTTAGACTAATGTACATACAAAATTGAAGAAAATCCAAACATTATAAACCTTAAATTCTACTCTACCAATTACGATATTTGAGTTTTCATGTGGAGTTAATAACATAAATTGTCACTCTATTATCCATTTTTCTCAAATCCTATACTATTTTTCACATCAAACATGCCCTCTTACTATATAGTATATATGTATGAAACTCCCAATAATTAAAAGCCACAATCTTCTCCGTATGAAACTCCCAATAATTAAAAGCCACAATCTTATCCTCCATCTGTTCTGCTTTCTCTTCATTTGAAGATCGATTTTTGAATTTCAACCACTTTCTAAAAGTCATCAATTATTGATCGATTTGACTAAATCATCAAAATTGGAATCCAAATTTTTTAGAATATTTGGATTTCAAACTATCAAAGGTTGTCA